GAACAGGGTGGCCAGAGTCCAGCCGGCGGCCAGAAAGGGCTCTGAAGACTGACGCCCGCGAGATGTAACCTTCCGCCATGGCACTTTACCTGCCTGCTCTTCGGTGGGCTTCGCTTTGTGCTGAGATTATTAACGTACAGATATCGTGTTTTTCCTGCGTGCAACCCCTCCGAGGGCTCGTGTCCGCTCTGAATCCCCCTGAGTGACCAACGCAGCACGTGGCTTGCACGTACAGGTATCGTGTTCTTCCTGCGTGCAACTCCTCTGGGGCTCGTGTCCGCTCTGACTCCCCCTGAGTGACCAACGCAGCACGTGGCTTGCACAAGCATCCTGCAGAATGAATGCCTTACAGATTGTTTGCCCATATTCACATTACAGTGTCAAGTTAGCAGCAGCTGCCGCTTCTCCTTCTTTATGATGAAAATGATGGTGGCTTATTTGTCCCCTCAAAGGTTGGCTGCTAATGTAGCTCATCCGATTTGGAAGTTATAATTAGCTAAGGTCACTGAAAAAATAAGTTTTTCCCAGCCATTCACTTTTGCGAGATAAGGTTTTTTATAGATAAGGATCCTTGATTACCCATTATGAAAAATTGATCCAAAGTTGTATTTTTCTGTAGTCTTTCCTGAGGCCAGAACTCCAGGCAGGAGCTCACAGCAGCACTTCCTTATTAATTTCCACCGGACCAGCCAAGATTATGAATCAAAGGCAAGACCATAGGTAAATGAAAATGGGAAAAACCTTTGTTTTGTTTAAGTGGTGGCCCGGAGGACACATTCCTCCGAGAATTCACTTTATCATGTCACAAAGGGAAGGGTACCCCAAAATCACAGAGGCAAGGCCAGGACCCCAGGGAACATGTGCCCTCTGTTTAGAGACTTGACACCAGCCCGACTCAAACGATTAGTATGTGCCGTGTCACTGAGCGTCATGGGGAAAGCCACCTCTTCCCTCCCAGCGGGCCCCCTCTGGTGGTCCTGCCCGGGGTCCCGCCACCAGCAGTGGCCTGAAGAAAAGCATGCAAGCTCCAGCCAACTGGGGTGGGGGGGGGGGAGAAGGAAGCCAGAAGAAGGCTGGGCTTGCCGAGACCCCCTCGGCCACCAGAAAGGAACAGAGGAGTGTTTGTTATTCTTCAAAATGTGTCTTTTAAGCATCTGGCAAAGTCACCACACATAAAAGTAATGCATGTTCCAGTGAAAAGAAGCTTTGAGTGAATAAAGCTGACTGTTCACTGTCTGGCCCAGCATGTTTGACTTGAACGACAGTTGTCGGGGGACAAGTGCGTACTTGACATTTTTTCCAAAGTAGAGTGAGTGTCTAATGCGTTGCCAGCCCATCTCCAGGATGGGAGCTGGGAGAGACACCTCTGTGTATTCACCGGCAGCAATGCGACCTTCTACCTGAGCCACCCAGCATGGAGCCATTTTCGGTGATAAACTCAGGGATTTGAATTCTACTTCTTTGTTCCCAAACCAAACTGGGGGTTGGGGTGTTGATTCTCAGCTCGGGATCTGAGTAAGGCCACTTCGTAGCTGTGTTACTGTGGGCAGGTCGCTTGGCCTCTCTGTGCCTTAGTTTAAGCATCTGTAAAGAGCAGAAGGTTGGACTTGCATTAATGAAAACCTTCTTTTGATTAAGGGTTGACAAACCATGGCCCACGGGTCAAATGTAGCTTTTCTATAGCTGGTGAGGGAAAAAAGTTTTTTCCATTTTTAAATCATTGAAAACGTCAAAAGAGGAGTATTTTATGACATGTAAAAGTTATATGACATTCACATTATGCTACGTGAAATAATAAATACTGTGTGACACGAAAGAGTCAATACTGTGCGATCCGACTTACGTGAGACGCCTAGAGTGGTCACATTCGTAGGGACAGACGGTAGAAGGGCGGCTGCCAGGGGCGGGGGTGGGGGCGAGAACTGGGAGTTTGTGTTTAATTTGTAGGGCATCGCAGTCTGGGGAGATGAGAGAATGCGGGAGGGGGATGGTGGTCATGGGGGCACGACAGTGCGAACGCACCGAAACATACGCTTGAAGTGTCTAATATAACTTATGTACGTGCCAGGACGATGATAAAGAGTGGATGTGCCCACGTGGAGCGCTTAGGACACCTGGCATGCAGCAAGCACTCGGTAAATGCGAGCCGTCCACGTGAGAAAGGGTCGACGCCGGGTGGTGGAGGAGAACTGTGGCGACGCTTCCGATCTGCACAAATGTGTCCACTTTGGATCCCAGAGTTTTCACACACATGAATTCCTGAAAGCAGAACCTCTCTCTGCCTGTGCATTCTCTTCAGGGCTTTGCTCAGTGACAAGCAGGGGAACTTGGGTGGCTACTGAGGTTTTCCTTCTCCCTGGAGGGAGCCAGCATCTGCAGAAACGTGCTTGAATGCTTCCTCCTGGATGATACCCAGGTGGCCGAAATATGGCTTCTGCCTCCCATAGTCCCAGCCGGCGCTTCCTCTGCAAGACTCAAGAAACAACCAGCCCGAACTGGCCCCGCACGATGAGTTCAGAACAGGAAGTTATTGGTGAAGTCCTTGCTTGATTTCTTCTAGAACTAGGAGCAAATAGTTTCCTTTAGAGATGATTATGACTATTACCGCTGTGTAATTGTCTTAAAACCAACTCCTCCAATGCAGTGACTTACTATTTTTAGTAAGCTTTTCCAATCT